CCCACGATTTAAGATGGTTCATGCCTTAGACCGCACCGCCAATGGGATCGGCGAACTAATAACATTAAGATTAATGATCATTATCGGCTCCCTCTTCGCGTACTCATAACTCAGTCATAACATGAACTGTTGAAAAAGGCTGTAGGTTTAAATGAGGTTTCCTAATAAGCATTTTAATTAAAAATGGCGGTAGCTGTCGACAGAGGAACTGTAATAATTAGGTCTACCTACCGGCAGAATGAGTACTGTAACTACATCTCCTGTGGGAAAGGGGGTGTGTCAAGTTAGTGACGTAGTCCGTTACGTCATCATCATAAAGTTTAACTAGATTCTGTTTTCAATATACTTCCGTATTCATACGCCGGTGAGAAATTGGGACGTACGTAACACGGGTCCCGTAATGCCTACATAAGGCATGACGTACCCGGAATTCAGCGCAGGCTGTTACAATAATTTCAGCCAGCACCATAATAATTCTTTGTTCGTTTAAATATTATGAGGGTGTTTGCCTTCCAGCTGTGTCATTGTCATTAATGACCGTCACGAAGTCGTTATTCAGGCCTTTACAAAATCACATTTTTTTCAATGGCTCCTCCGGCTTCTTATTCAGTTCCGTAATCATTTTTCACAGACGGTAATATTCCTTGGACGAGTGACCAGCCCGTCGCAAGGCCGCTACCTAAACACAGGACAACACAAACACAGAATAAACACATACACACATCAAATATCCATGCCTTGAGTGGGATTCGAACTCACGATCCTAACGTCCGAGCGAGCGAAGACAGTTCATGCCTTAGACCGTGCGGCCACTGTGACCGGCTAAAATCGCATTTGCATAATCGTGTAATTTTTAGCACATTTCTTCTTTACCGGGAAGAGTAACAGTTTTGGTCGTTAGATGTCCCTGTCCTCGTTCTACTTAGATGATATATCATCCATATACGGGCATCGAACTTGAAGATTTCCTGTTAACCTTCGGTTTCCATATACTGAAACATATGGAAGTAATACGTTATTACTATTCGAATAGAAAGTACAAGCATCATTAATATTACTGGTTTATTGAGGAAATGCTTTTGAGGCTGACTGGGTAAGAATAAGTGAAGGTTGCCTACAGAAAACCCTGAACCACGAAAAGTGAGGGCCAAAGTCACTGGTGTAGGAAGCGAGACGAAGAGAGGACAGTGTGATATAAGCCAGCATTTCTACTTTTCTACTGCTGCTATGTTAACAGAAACTGGAGAAGTACGTTCTATATCAGTAGGTTTCAGTGAGGGTGCCCTGCTTTTGTCACAAAATTAACCGTTTAAAATATATGGTTATTGTACGTGCTACCTGCATCAGTATTCAGAAGGCCTATAGTAGTAGTCAGACCCCTTCTGTCGTCGAAAAAAAAGAGGCCCCATTTTAAAACACACAAATGGTTTTGGAAAAATATGGTCATGGGTCTCGACGAAATCAAGAATGACTGTGCTGGCGAAGGCCACCAGGAATTACTACTGTGCTCTTAAAAAGAAGTCTGCATTCCCCCTACAGAATACATTTAAGAATTTAGTAAGATTCTGATAATAAACGGCCGTTTCCCATATAGAGCATCAACAGAAAGGTCCTTGTAATGGAGACACGGTGTGTTATCTGAGGGGTGGGAACTGTCTCACAACTAACCGAAGTCTAGACTTGTCCTGCTTATAACATCTCGGGACGTACCGCATAGAAAACACCATTCGCAAAATTTCTGCTATTGTTGCGTCACGCAGCTATCGTACGGACAACATATAGAACACCATCTCAGTTAGTCAATTGGTGCATTGTTACCTAGCAACGGGCGTTGCTTACAGAGTTATTAGCAAGGGCCTACATGCTACAGTGTTATTGCTGGCAGAGGGTTGTAGACGATAGTCGAAATATTCAACAAGCCCTTGTTCTGCATTGCAAGTACAAGAACTTACTGATGATATGTAATAAATGTTTTAGTGTTAAATGTAACAATAAAAATAAATTCAAATGCTTGCTTCGTATATGTCTACAACTTTTATTCATAACATTTTTCTGTCTGATGAATGTTTAACGAAATAAGAAATATATACACGTGCGTCTATTCATATAAATTCGTCATTGAAGATAACGGTAAAAGGTAAAGCTATCCCTGTAACAGGCCGTGGAGGCCCATAGGGATGTGAGACGTCGAGACTCTAAGACAGTCGGCTTGAAGATGGCGGTGAGATTGTCAGCTTTGCGCGCCGTCTGCCCTTTACCCCAAGGAAGATTCCTGGTACTCATTTCTGGTAGAGGCTGAGTCGACCCCAGGCCATAGTGCGGCTGGAAAGATTAGGTAAATTGAAAATTCCAATGACCTAATCAGGTATTGAACCCGCAACCTTCCGGCTTGTAGCATAGTGTCTCAACCAACTACGCTATCACGTGCTCCCCCCCCCCACGTCTTTGAAGATGTGCAATATAAATTAAAATTGAAGACACTTGACAGTTAAATTCAACGGAAATCCACGCAGCGGTTGCTTATTTGTTTCTTTCGTACAGACGGACAGACGTATAAAACTTCAGAGGTACTTCGCAGGATTTGAACACGCCTAAAATCTAAACATTGCGTTCTTACCGTACTCATACGGGCATGCTTTGCTGTCTGCGTCTGAGTCTCGAAGTTTAGGGGGCGTCAGGGCAATTTATGGCTGTTCCTACTTTTGTTGCAGCACATGTGAGAGAGGCTGATTTATATGTACCAATACAAACGGAGTTCAAGTGCAGTCCGTATGTGTCGAGTCTGCTAGGGGCCATGCCAACGTGCCCCCCTCCTACTAAGTCTGCTGCTATTATTAACACGCAAATTGCTGTCTTCGAGAAGGCTCTTGCGTATCATGCAGTTCTTCTTTGTCTGCGTTACGAATTATCCTGAAGCTTTTTCTGATAAAAAAATTGAAATTCTTGGGCCCATTGTGGTCATGTGAATTATAACACCTATTTGAGCCCTACATTATGTCATATATAAACCATAATATCACAATATGAAGATTTCATTTGGTATACTTTTTTTACTGAGCTTCGAGGTGTAATGGTTAACATAACAGCATGGAACATACTCGTTCTTATAAAACTAACATTTTCTCACCTGGTTAACAACTTCCTGCCTTTTTATGGAACCCGAAGATGTTTTACCATATTAAAAAAAAAACGCCTGCCAACGGTCCATATCCTGAGCCAACTGAATCTAATCCACATTCTCTCATTGCTATGACTGAAGAATAACATATTCTGGGAAGTAACGCCGTGTAGTCTGGTAGAAGTAACTAAAGTTTCGGAGGAACCTGCACTCTCAGGATCGATGAGTAAGTATAGCAAGCAAACGAGCTATACTTGTTTGTTTCCTTACAAAGCTTACTCTCCAGTCCTGAAGATGGAGGCAGTATGTTCCTCCGAAACATCGATAAACTTCTACCAGGCCGAAATAGCGTCAGATTCCAGATGGTACGACTGTTTTATATTAAAATTATCATCTCATCTGAGTCTAGGTCAAATGGTTCTCTTTCCTGCAAGTTTTCGGATATGTATCTGAATGTATTCTCATCTCTTTCATGCGTTCTACATGTATAGTCGAGCCGTTCCTCCTTGATTTATTGCAGTATTTTGTAATGAGTAGGTCTACAAATTATGAAGCTCTTTGTTCGCTTCTTTGTTCCATCCTCCTGTTGTTTGCTCCCCCTCTCTCTCTCTCTCTTAGGTCCAGATATTCTCTACAAATATTCTACATACGTAATCATGCAACTGTGTGAAGAGTTGCGCAGTTTCGGGCTGTCGACAAGTGGTGGTCCTCCAGCTTTGGAATTAGGCGGAGGGCTAGTAACTCCTTCCGGTAAAATAACTAGAATGATACTTGTAACGCAGGTCCATGCCTTAAATTAATGCTCATATCTTGTTGTCTCTTATAAGGATTTTGAAAACGCTGGTTACTCTCTTTTGTATATATTACGTAATCTTTCACAGTCTTTCGATTTCGAGGACATCTAATGTTAATTAGGAAATATTAAAAAAAAGGACCTCACCGCCGTCCGTGTGCCGATTGTCTAGAAAATGTGGGAGCCTCGACGTCTCTAAAACGTATTGCCCTCCACAGCCCGTTACAAGGATAGCTTTCCCTTTTTTACCTTGCAAAAAGGGTGACTTGTTATGCATTCTGAAGTCGCTCTTAACTTCGATTTCGGGCAGAAGGTTTATTAATACGAGGTTTTCCTGATTTTCGTCAGACCTGTATAGAAATTGCAGGAATTATCTGTAACTGGGTTACGTCATTTCCTGCTACATGTTTTCTAGATATCGAAATCGTCTTAAAATAACCCACCAATTAATACAAGTGTTCCGAACTTTCATAATCCTTCAGTTTTTTATCAGTTTATATAACCTTCTCATTTGACATCTGAGTTTCACGAAGAAATATTGTGAACAGAGAACGTCCTCAGGCGAAGTTGAAGGTTTTGTGATCAAAAACGTCTGCATGCATTTCCCATTTCTACTACACGTACAATATTATCTGTCTAGATCATCCATCTTGATTTAATACCCTCACTCACTCATGGATTTGAGCCCTTCTTGAGAAGCTGCGAATTGTGCAGCTACTCAAGAACTTCTCAGCATTTTATGGCAACTGAAGGTTCATCACCGCGTTCACAAGAGCCCTCCACTGGTCACAATCCTGAGACAGATGAATCCAATCCCTACCATCCTATCCTATCTCTCTAAGATCCATTTTAATATTGTTCACCCACCTACCTCTTGGTCTTCCCAGTGGTCTCTTTCCTTCTGGCTTTCCCACCTGTATCCCATATGCATTCCTCTGCTCCCCCATTTGATCTGATACCCACAGGATCTTAATTGTTGCTATAAAGTTGACCACACTAACATCAATATTTAATTATGTTAATTGGTACAGCGTTAAGTTAAGAGCATATAATTTATATAATTACGGCGTCTTGTTCCTTTGTTCGCAGGACCTCTGTACTCTTCGTCTCCATTTCCTTCATTGTGCTGATGATAATATCCTTGGCATGGCTTGCTTTCTATTACGTCCAGAGGTTTCGGTATGTTCACGCAAAGGACAGACTGTCTGTAAGTATACGTGTTTTCGTTGGCAAGTCTTGCATATCTATAGCTAAGTCAAGGTATTTAATCCGGATTTTTGTTTTAGGTGTGAGGTTTGAAGTTTTAATATCAGCGGTGAAAATTTAGATTGTGGTCTTCTGGCCTATGACACCATCAGGTATCATAGGTTGCAACTATAGAACCTATAAGGTTGGTAACCACGTAAGACTACACGGCGCCATAATACCAGAGCACCACAATCTGATTTTTTTCCGTGGTTTATTTTAGACGTCAATACCTCAGGCTATTCAAAGTGTAACTGGAAGTTGCGGACAGACTTTGGGCACAAATTCCACTATCAAAACAAGAAAAAAATGTCCATATCAGCGCGCGTCCGGTACCATTTAATTTGTGAGCTATATATGAAAGAGTACATTCATATAATAAGTGCACAAAATGTCCTCCATGAGATTCAATGCACGCCTCGACACGTCTCACCAAGGACCTCCACATCCGTACAAAGATGCGGGGGCAGTTGCGGATAGTCTGACAGGCATCCACAGTGCTATGAAGTGCCTCTCCGTTTCCAACAGGAGCTGCATACACACGGGTGTTCAGGTGCCCCCACAGGTAAAAATCCAGAGGATTCAAATCTTGCGTGGAGCGTGGAGACATGCAGTGGTTCCTGCTCTACCTGTCCATTGGGCGTGACAGGTGTTACTGAGAACATCTCGCACAGCACGGAGTACCATCGCGCATGTACCGCGTTCGTGCTGTGACTGCCAGTGGTACATCTTCCAGGAGCTCCAGTGGTTGTCTGCAAGCCGAAGTGGCAACACATGCGGGCCTTCTAGTCACAAACAGTCCCTGCGCACGCATTGATACAGAACTGCTGCTGGTATTCTTTCGGCTATGTTCCGGACACATGTTGATATGGACATTATTTATTCTTTTGTTTTGTTTATGTGGAACTCGTGTCCAGAGTTTGTCGGCACCTTTCGGTTGCAGTCTGTATACAGTCAAATGGTAGGTAGGATGGTTATCGAATCATGAATTGGAGATATTTGGTTTAGGCCGTGGCCCATTCGAAGTCCTATCGTAATTTACATGAAGGGACTGAGGAAAATCAGAAAATACCTCGCCAGTTTAGCCACTGTCCCGGCCGAGATTGGAACCGAGCACTTCCCGAATACAAATTTAGAGCTTTACCGTCTTGCTCGATATCTAAATCTTGTTTAAGATGTTGTCATCTTGTTTCGTCACTGGACACCCAACGTCCGCCAAGTTTTTATTGAACGGTGACATCTGACATTCGCCTACGGGTGCATTTGTCTTAAACATTACTTTTGCTTAAATGTCAAAATTTGTCTTAGAAACTTTAAATATCGACAGATAAATAATCGAAGCATTCATTTACTTACTCTCTCATTTCTGGAAGTATAGAAATTCTGACAAATATTATTTTTCAATAAGAATATAAATCGATTAATATTAGCAATGTCGGGAGTAATTAAATTATTCCACCATTAGGCTTATAATCAATAATTACACAACACTACAGATATGTGGTTCATTCTATGACATATACGGAATAAGATGTATTTTTATTATTAAATTGTACGTTGACCAAAAACATGACAGTGAAAAGCTGTATCACGCCGAATTTTTGGTTAGCCCATTTTTTTTCTATGCAAGACACATGAACCTATTTAGGCCTATCATTGGTTACGCTGTTTAAGTACCACGCCATTCAGACGTATGGGGGAATGTAGGTAAAACTCCACCTTTCTTGAACTCGACACTAGATGGAAATGAGTGGTTAGTTTCATGTCCCTGCTGCTTTATACCTGGAGAAATAGCTCCGGTAACCATGAGATAGGAGTCTGGCTGGGCCCCAGAGCTGCTCTGGACGTTGCGGAGAAGAGAAAAATTTCTTGCCCCTGGCTGGAATCGAACCACGGTTGTCCAGCCCGTAGCTCATCGCTATACTGACTAAGCTTACGAATAAGGCCGGGCCATAGCTCAAGCAGTTAGTCGCCGGCTTCCCACCGTGGCGGTCCGGGTTCGAGTCCGGGTCTGGTCAAGTGGGATTTGTGGTGGACAAAGGGGCACTGAGGCAGGTTTTCTCCGAGTACTTCGGTTTCCCTTGCCAGTCTTCATTCCACCAAATTCTCCATCATAATCACCGGGGCAGGTACAATAGGCCGACAGTGGCCGACGTGCCGAGTGGACTCAGCTGGATTCCACCCCCCCTTGTGCGAATAAAAAAAAACTTATAAATATATTTCTCTACACTAATAAAACATTTTTTTATCATATTATGTTATAACAATTGTAAAGATGCTAAGAAAAAACGAAATGAGTACCAGGAATTAATTAATTTTCCTGGGGAGTAAAGCGCGGCCGGCGTGTAAGGCTGACAGCCTTACCGCCATCTTTGAGCAGATTGGCTAGATAATGTGGGACCCTCATCGTCTTACAACCTTATGGGTATTCACGGCCTGGTACAGGGATAGCTTTACTTTTTTACTTTTTATTAAGAAAAAACGTCAGAAGTGAAAAGATATTTTTTGACTAAAATTTAATAAAAGCGTGGCATAGTGGATTGTGACCAGTTTTGAAATCAGAGTGTTAAACTTAAACCTAGTTAAAAAGTTTATTTTATTTTTCCGCAGTCTTGTTTATTAATGTTGTTAATAATCGGAAGAATGTTTACAGTCTAATTCTGTGCCTTGATGTTGGAAATTTAACAATTTCATTGTTTTAATGTGCCAAAGAAAGCGTTTACAAAGTTCGGTTACCACGTGAACGTCCCAACGGAATGTCTATAGGGGTGTATTTACTTAGGGCGGCAAGAGTCAAAAATGGATACCATGAGAGGAGCCAACTTCACAGCGCGCCGTATTCATTGCACGCTTCTTGTGGCTTTCTGAGTAGGGGTGATCTGGAAAGAACTGATGACTTCTGCTTACATTCAGATATTTCTGTACGTACTTCGAAACATCTGCATTTTCATTTCTACCATAACGTGAGTTCTTTTTCGAATGAAAACTACTCGCATGTCAGCTCTTTAAAGCGAGCGCTGAAGGAACGTGCAGGGCGATTCTGAACTATTGTCGGGGTTTCCGTTTATAGGCCACGGAAACCCCGACAATAATTTAAAATCATCCTGTAGATTCCGGACGTTCGAATACGTAACTGCCTCGATAGTGCCCTGGTTTCAGCACCAGTTCTCTGAGTTTAATGCTGAAGGACATATCGGGTGTTGTGTGAATGTTACGCCTACCTCAGGACTCTTGCGAACTCTATTTAATTCTCCAAGAACGGGCTTTATTTGAACAAACCCAAATACTTTTTAAACTTTCAACAGTCTTTCCGAAATTATCTAGAAATTCGGCTTATACCGCAACGGTTCTGTGTTCTGATGGTTCTGGGTTCGTATCTTGATCAGGACACTTACTGCTCGATTTACATTCTCCGTGGGTTTCCTAAGTACTTCCAGGCAAATACCAGGATACAACCAATTTATGTAATATATTTTCAATTAATTATTCACTATAAATTCATTCGAGGCTATACAGCCTACACCACCGACATAGTCATTAAAGTAAGTAAACAAATTTACAATTTGAAGAGTTGTATCTTCTGGGATATATGTAGTCCCTTTGTTGATTTTCGACGGATTACGCGACTTTACATCCAAGAAGGTAGAGGTCTGTGAGAACCCCACATCCTACAAACATACGAACTGCTCCGAAGTCACCTTTACTAATATAGCAGAAGACAGTACAATAATCGCATTTATGATTAACCTTTCAGTTTAGAAAGATACAACATGCAAGGGCCAGGGACATTAAAATATAAATTTTAATTTTTTTTATTATTTATTTATTAAGCAATCAGAATCTACGATTCTATAAGCTAGTCTGCTGGCGTAGCGGCCTCCGTAGTCTAGAGGTAACGTTCCCACCTCACGACTCGTAGTACGCGGGTTCAAATACCCGGCGGAAGTCGTCGAATTTTTAAGGGCGGAAAAATTCACGGAACAAGTCCTCCGGGAGGGACTTTAAGCCGTGGGTCCCGTGTCGTAGCTTTACGGCACGTAAAAGAACCTTATACCTCCAAAGGAGGTCACTGAGCCAAAATTGCGGACGTTTCCCGCCCAACAGCACTCACTAATACCTCCGGTAGATGGGGGAAGCATTATAGATACCTCTCAGCTAGTAGAGCCGGTCTCGCTGGCTGGGCGGGACTGATGGTAAGCACCAATACCGGTAGGATATAGAGACTGGTAGAAATCATAGAGGGAAGCACAATGGACCACTATAAGTCTAAGTGCATGGGGAAACCCACCCTCTCCAATAACTAACTAACTAACTAACTAACTAACTAACTAGTCTGCTGGCGTAAGAGCTGTGATGCTCTTTAATGACATGGTGAGTCCCCCAGTGGGAGGTTCCTCATTAGTTTTCTTTTAGGTCAGCTGGCCAGTGTCTTCGGAGTCTTCGATTGTGCTGCGGTTCTACGAGTGATTGTAGGATGTCGTTTGGGTGGTTTGCTAGTTTGTTGTGGTGTGAGGTACTTTTTTTCTCTGATGACGTCCTTGATGTATGGTATATTTAGGTCTGTATGTAACGTTTGGATAAATTTTAACAGAGAGACCATTTGATGCAATTAAAATGGAGCATAAATGCAATCTAAACAAGAATAACTATTGATTCTTTTGTAGCATACTGCATTATAAGGTAAAGAAAAGTTGTCCTGTGCTTAATTAATTAACCACAACTCCATGAAGTCGTCATTGGATTTTTTTAAATTGACCTAATCCTTACAGCCGCACTATGGCCCTGGGGTCGACTAAGCCTCTAACAAAAATGAGTACCAGGAATATTCTTGGGGGTAAAGGGCAGCCGGCGCGTAGGGCTGACAACCTTGCCGCCGTGTATGGCCCGATTGTCTAGAAAAATGTGGGAACCTCAACATCTCACAACCTTATGTGCCTCCACGGCCTGTTGCAGGGATAGATT